ATGCAGGACAGTGGGCCCTGAGGACCAAAGTTGGGAAACTTACTGATTCCCTACTTTAAACCAATGCTAAAATATTTTCATTTTAAACAGGATTCATTCATGCGTTACTAAAGTTGAAATTTGACAAGTTACTGTAGTATAATTTTGTAGATTATATTCTTTGTGATCATCTGAAACTGAAATTTCTTTCAAACTTGGAACAATTATTAAAACAGCCCCACCAGAAATGTTGCCAAATGTCAATTAATTACAGCAGAAGTAGGATTAAGGTATATCCCTTTCACATCTTGTTTCAAGTAAGAGGATTATACAAATTAGAAGGTTTATAGAAAACACAAAACAAAAACAGATGGGCCTTCACATTTTTCTTAATATGACAGGGCTTGTTTTATGCCATGGCAAAATAATGTTCACCATCTGACATGCTGTGTTAACATCAATGCTGCTAAATTAATTTCATTTGTTTTAAAGCTTCAAAAGCATTTACTTCTTACAGCCCTCATGCTCTTGGGAACGATGGCCCCCATGGTAAATATGCTTGATACCATTGAGACGCATCTAAACGGACGAAGTGATCAATAAGCATTTTCCTCACACCATTCTCCAGACCACAGACTGACCAGTGGAAGCCACCCCCCCCTTTTAAACATTCACCCAAGATCAGACCTCAACGGTCAGCATGCAGAAACACAAGATGACCAATTAACAAACACACAGCATGTCATCGACACAAACTATGAATGCATTTCAAAATGAAAACACCAGCAATGTTTTTTTATCTTACTAAATGTCAAGTTGGATAGTGGTATAGTCAATGTAACTCCATGTGTTGTGTTCTCAGAGCCCTGAGCAAACACATCCACTACTGGCAGGTCTCCAGGTCTGCTTTTATGGCAACCGTGCTGACTGAGGAGCTGGTGGGGTAAACTACAATAAACAAGCCAAGAGTTTATTAGGATATTGGGTTAAATATTTCCCAGTAATCGCTTTCAAGTATTTTACTGTGCAAGGCTTTCAGCGCGCCTGTCAGAATGTTAAAACTTAGATAAAAGTAACAGAATTTCAATATGAGACACCAAGTTGTTTCTAGGATTTGGATAACATTCATTCACTTCTGCATTTGTCTGAGGCACCCGTCTGTCACCATGTGTTGGTGGGAAAACACCTTGCAGTCCCTGTTGCTGTTAATGCTGGGAAGCTGAAGGAGGCGGAGGCGCTAACAGGAGAACAGGCAACAGAGAGGGATCTCCTCTCGAAGGAGGCGGGAGTGGGCAACGGACCAGCTCCAGTATCACGTATCACTGGCTAATCAAGAGAACCTTGCATTCAGTTTATGGTCACAGAAGAGGAAAGCTTCCGTTACAATGGAGACAAAGCCAGGTGGTTCAAAACTGTTTAACGGCCACTATGATCAAGGTGACTGCCGTTTGGTTCTCACCAGGTCTGGACAAAGATGAGTAAAAGTCTAAATTAAACATTACGGTAACTAAAATGAAATTTTTTAAAACAAAATATTTTATAAGTAGAGGATTTCCGATGATAAACGAATGAAAGAATTTATTATACTTATTATTATTGTTGTTATTATCATTATTAATTCCTGTTCGTGATACAATCAGTGGTTATTGTTTATTTTTTGGTCCAGCAAAATTGTGTTGGAAGAATTACCAAAATATTCTTAATGTTCTTTATCAAAAATTCACTGATTTGATATGTGAACACATGCTTGATTATCCCACACAATGTCCGAATATCATGACATTTTTAAAAATATATATTTTATATGATTTCAAGATTTATTTTGGAAATAATGCAAGAATTTAATTTGTTTCCAGTCAGAGCCTGTGACCGTTTTCTATACTATTAAAAGTAACCTCTGGACTGCAAATCCCCCACACATTTATTTTTACAACTAAATAGGGCAAAATATTGATCTGAGGTCATTAGGCGAATATTTTTTTTTTTTTAAATTAAGCACTTTTTTGTGATTTTGGATCACAGCTTTCCAATATGACAGACCAGAATTAACCCAAAATATTAACTTTAGAAAGACTTGTCTTATTTATTCACCTACATACATGATATTGATATAATTTAAGTTACTTTACAGTCATTTCAGATAAAAATGTTTTTACATATTAATTTTCCTATTACACCTCTTTATAACCCTTTTACAAAAACCTCAAATTGTGAGTCTGGTCACTACATTCTTTTTATGTCATAATTTTTGCTTAACTGTGCTGCCCAACAGTTTTGAGCACCAAACACATGTACCATAGTAAAGATGTTAAGCTGAAAGGCAGCTGCTAAATATGTTGAGGTCAGTTTGGAGGGGTCAGTCCCTGAGTTCAGCTATGGTCGCATGTTGAGATGACCAGCAATACGAGGCTTCAGGGGAATGCCAGGCTTGTGTTTGAAGCCCACACCTGACCTGCCTGATGATGATGTAAAATCAGCAGAACCACCTCCTCAGTATCACCAAGGAACACGAAATTGAGAATAGCTAAATTATTTCCCCATGAGATCCAAAAGAAAAAATGTACACATCTTGTCCATCCACTCCTTCTACACAATGTCGTTCTAGTGATCGAAACCTACGATCGAGTATAATGGATCTACTACACCTATGTTCCATCTCACCCCTACTTGCGAAACAGCCAAGAAAAGAAATGCTGCAAGATTAATCACCTGTAGTTCCGATTTCCATTCATGAGGTCTCTGCCCGGTTCGCTCCCCGGATCACAGATGTCAAACGTTCGGGACTCCTCCGTTAAGTCCGGTGTCTCCTTCGGGAGTGCAGCGCCTCTGCCTCCTCCGCTGAGTAACAGCGTGTCCTACCCCCGATATCCTCCTCTTTCACTCCCACTTTGAAAAGGCAACCCTCGCTATGGTTTTCCGTTGGCTCCACAAACCACCTTCTCCGCACGCCGACTACTAAAATCGGATTTCACTGCCACGGCGAAGGATAGTGGCTACTGTGGGGAATGAAAATCTGCTAGTTAGCCAAGTTAGCTTGCTAGCCAGGCTTTGGGGGAAAGTGGCTGGAGCAGACGAGAGGAGCTGTCAGGAGATCATCACAGCAGGGTCATTGAGTCCAACTGAATCCCCACCGATGTGTGGCCGTCCCCAGGGACGACATAAATATTAAACCACGGGACAAGGAGTCGTAGGAGCAGCTAAAGTGGTTAGCTCGCAGGCTAGCTCTACTGATAGTTGGAATTCTGACAGACGACGGCCACTTTTTATCGCGTTAAAAACAGCTGCTTCAGGCGGGTCGCTTTTCCCAGTCTCCGTCTTCCGCAGACGTCGTCGTCTGGAAGTAGTGTCCAAGCGTCGAAACGAAGCTGTCAGCCCCGCTGTGTATCCGCCGATAAGTGTCGGGATTTCCAGGCTGGTTGACAGAACAACTCTGCAGGGCTTCGGCAAGCCAGCTAAATATGGTGAAGTTGCCTTTCTGACACCGACAGGAAGAGGTGGGCTCAGTGTTGCCAGACGTCAGAACCAAGAACTCCGCCTTGAGCAAGAGGTAATCCTACGTTTATGAATAAATCAGTGGAACATTACAGGTGCATTTGAATATCGAGTTTAAATTCCGTTTTACCAACACAATTTAAAAGGGAAAACTCAAAATGTATAGCTTTATTACACAGAGTGAAAACCACTAAATAAAGTCAACATTAGCCACACAAACTCTTCACTAAGTGTTTATCCAAGCATTTTCATAGGAAATTTAGTAGAGAAAATTATAGCTAATGAAAAGGGAGGGCACTACAGTCTTGAGAGAATTGTGAAGTAAAGTCCATTCAAAAAGACTGAAAGAGATTCACAAGGATTTCTAAAATAGGAAACACAATTTTAAGGCATGTATAGTTAAGGCGAATGTCGCCTTATGCCTCCCTCGACACAAAGGATGTATACACCATTAAAAGGTCTGCTAGTTCACTGAATGCAGCATCCAATAAAATTAATGAAAGGTTAATTGGAAAGGATAAAAATGTGGTCGGAAAAAGGTGTACAAGAAGCAAGAATAACTACAACTTTGAAAGGATTGTGAAGCAAAGCCCATTTAAGAGATTTGAAGAAGCTTCACAAAGCATGGATAGTCAGTACTTCAATAATCACCAAACTAATATATCATAACATGGGCAACCAACAAAATCATATATCATTTGCATGCACGAAGTATTAAAGAGACTATTGGTCAGTGGAAATCAAACTCCCAGAGTCTATAGAAAAGATTTGACTGGAGCTGGTCTGCTGCAATATCAAGTTCAGTCAGTACAGTTGTGTATTAGGACATTTTAATACATTTGCCATTTCCCTCCGTTGACAAACTTTATGGAAATGCTGATTTTCTAGAACAATGTGGCCGCTGTCCACACTGTCAAAAATACAAATGTTTAATTCTCCAGCAACCGTTCTTATTTTAAAGGGCATGCCATAATTCATTCAAAGAGGAGCACCAACCATGTTTCAGTGCATACATGAACAAACCTTTCACTGGCTGACATTTCTGTTCTAAATATGACTGTCATCTAATATTAAAATTTTTTGAGTGACTGAATTCATTATTTTATTAGCGATAATTCATAAAAATGAACACCAGAAATATTTCAGCTTGTGTGCCAAGTCTTTAAAATATAAATCTCCCATTTTTGAACTGAATTACTAAAATGAAATACATGTCCAATCAGTAAGATGTCAGACAAAATCATCCAGGAAAATTTAGGTGCAACTGAAGTGACTTCTTTTGCTGTAACATTGAAACCAAGGAGATTTCTTTTGGATTAATGTGGGGAAAATGTGTGGGGGTGAAATAGTGGATTGAGATTCACCCGACTAGAGTGAGAAATTGAGGAAAATGTTTGAGTCTCACTCGTGAAGAGTGATAATGACGACTGCAATACATTAGAATAAAAAGTAAAACTTTCCCAGCAAAAATGAAGAAATCTATTTACCTTTTTGTCTAAATTAAAATAAAGACATCAAATCACAAAACATTAAAAAAACAAATTTTATTTTCATTAAAAAATAACCCTCCCCAACAGAGTTCCAATACTATCACACACAGAGCCAAAATAATATGCTTCCATGTCATTTCATTCATATCTATTGGGAAGTGCTATGAGAAGGACTGTTCTTGATCAGTGGCTTCAATATTGCTTTGACAGACCGTGAGGCTGTGTGGAGAGGAACGGACTCTCCTGTGTCCACGATACATTTCTAGGGTGACTGCAAATTTTTGTGTCTCCCCTTTGCAAGGTGCTTTTGTGGCTTCGGCAAGTGAAGAACTGCATCTGGATTTAGTGGTGCCCGGGAAATATCCCCAGGCTGGTATTTGTCGAGTACAGAACAAGCAGTAAAACACTGGCCTCAAGAGTGAAAAGGCCCCGCGTGTGTTGGGCCAAAATATAACATGTAAATATTATATATTTATATATACAAATCACCTTGGACACAATGAAGGATCAGTAAAACGGCGTACAAAGGCATTCTGATTACGCAAGTTCATAAATACGATTTTAAAATCAAACTTGTCTGGTCTCTTTTCTCACAATCCCTTTCGACGTCAAGAGGGCTCTGACCATCAGACAAGATTTGAGGCGTTTTAAGGGCAGCTGAGGTGGAATTTTGAGACCGTCTCCACAGTGCCCTCTTGAGGAAACACTGACAATAGTCACAATATTCATAATGACAAAAAATAGCAGTCTTTATAACCACTACACAATCAAGGCAAAACAATTAACAGGCAGTGGCGAGCACAAGGCTCCTACCTCTAAGAAAACCAAAGTAAGGTGGCTCAGAATATCCAGTCAATAAAAAATAATAATTACATGCATTTTTTCCCCCCCTATAAATCCAGAGAACTACACGATGTAAAAGGCAGGGCATATTAAGTAGTAGTAATAGAGGCCCACCCTGTCCAATGAGCAATTCCCCGTCTGTGCCGCCCATGCACACAGAGCACCAATAGAAATTTGGCAAACACAGACTAGGGGACTGGGGCAGAGGATGCTGAATGTCTATAACGCCAAACAATTGGCAAGGAAGGAGTGACGGAAGAGGCCAATGCAGTGATAGTTTGGCCTGAATGGGACATGAGACAAGTGCATTGGCTTAGTTTTTTCTCTACAGGCCGAGACAGAAACCAAGAGCTCAGATATGTGTGCTTTTGTTTTCCAGGCAATGATATGTAAATGCCTGCAGTGGGAAGAGCAGGACAGATGGAAGATAGGTGTGTACAGGTATGACAAGAATGTTGTGATCCAAAGTGTTAGAATGCACTGTGTGGCTTCACTACCACCGATACGAGTAGGAATGATGATGTGCAGAACGATCAGAGCAAGGCCCCTGGCTGAAGGCGTGTTCAGCTTTGCAGCACTTGAGTGATCACAGACCTTGTTTGCCTGCTTTCAAATGTCCAGGATAGTTCAACATGCAAGGATAGTTGGCCTTGCATGTTGCCTTTGTTCTGAAAGCAATGCAAGTGTTGGAGTGAAAGTTTAAAGTAGTTTGTCAAGTTTCTAAGTTCATTTTGTAAAATGAAATCAGTAAGTAAACAAAAGTGCCTCATAAATCCTTAAAGAGCATTGAATACAGAAGTAAAAGATTATCTTCCTGTTTAAGTGCCCCTTTTTCATTGGTTGGCATCACTTTTGGCTGGTTAATAATGCTGGTTTAGGTGCATGGGGTGCAAGTATATTTGATACACTCTATGCAAATGGTCCCTCTAGTGTTACGCTACGCTTGCGTCTATAGGCTAAATCTCTAGGGACTAGCCAATCAGGACTGAGAGTGCAGCAGCATCTCTCTCCTGCATCTGCAGTCGCTATACCCGCTCCTTCTGTTGGTGCCAATACAAAGACCAGAGGGCTAGCATCGCATGACTACCAAACTCTTTATGTGCAGGACTGGTGGCACCTACATGCTAACACTAAGTGCTAATGTACCATACCTCAGACTCTTCAAGGCCGTTTTTTTAAACAATAAACATCATTTAAGAAAAAAAAATCTAAAACATGAATGCAAGTCATGAAATAGTTAAAAATTATATGTGTGTGTGTGCATGCTCAGTACCGCCCAACTGGAGGATCCCCACTCTCAGGGGCTTGGAACACTGGCATCCGTCTTTCGGATGGGTAGAGGCAGCATTGTGGCGGTAGATAAAAAAAACAAAACAAAACAAAAAAGTTTAACCATTTTTTTTTGCCCTTCCTAGAGCCTATTTTTCCTCCCATCTCTATTGCATACTTACATTGATAGGAGTGTGAAGGTAGCGTACAATACAAATACATAATATCCACTTAAAAAAAATTCAACATAAAAAAAGCAACTGTCCTGATAACGTAAAAACAACAAAATGATATTCAAAACCTATCGAGTGCATGAGGCTGCAGACTCAGCCCGTAATTACAGGAGGACGTTGTGTTTTTTTGGATTGAAGAAGACTGGCTGGCAGGTCTGTGGAAGTGTGTGTAGTGGGTAGTTGCCAGGAGTAAGGGATGGGGATGAGGTGGGAGTGGGCTTTCCGCCCGCTCAGGTAAAAATGAGGTGGAAGGGAACGACGGTGACGATGGCTGGTGAAGCTCAGGCGAAGTACATGGTCCTCAGAGTGTCGTGGTGAATCTGAACAGCTTTGGCCAGCGCCTGGGGGTCCCGGCCATTACTCTGACCCGATACATGGCTGCCCTCCCCACTGCAAGGAGACAGAAAAGGAGAGAAGATGCAGCAAACAAACTAGCAACATGTGTACCTCAAAAAATAGTAGAAAAAGGTTGATTCTGTTATTCAATTAAAAAAGTGTGATACTTTCCAAGAATCTATTTCTTTTCATTTGAATCATTACGGCTTCCAGATAATAAAAAGCCAACCTTCAGATTCTCTGAAAATTAAAAGATTACATAAGACCAATAAAAAAAAAATATTTTTTTTATTTCAGAAATAGGATGGCTATTTTCAGCTTACAACTACTACTAATTTGAAAGATGTCCAGAAGTCGGCCACAGGCAGAGTAAGCCACAAAAGGTCACTGCTTAAGAAGCTAAAGCGCCATCTCCAGGCATATCACTGAAAGCTTAGTGGAAGAGAAATATTTGGTAGGAATGGCTGCACAAGCAAGTAAAATTTGCATTTAATTTGAAAATCAAGTTTCCAATGGCGAGAGGGGTGGAGAAGCTAAGTTGTTTGAGACCCAGTGTGATGTTTGAGAGGGAGTTATGAATTAGGGAACTATGTCATCTGATGTTGGTTCACTGTATTTAATCAAGCCCAAAGTCTACTAGGAGATTTAAAAACACCTGTTGCTTCCATCTTCAGCCAAACTTTACGGAGATTCTAATTTAATTTTGCCTACACTGCCAAGACTACCAAGAACTGGTTTAATTGTCATTATAACATTGTGTATGATTGAACAGCACAGATAATCTATTTAGTTTTATTAAAAAGAAAAAGACAACAGATGAGCTAAAATTAACTGTTAAAAGTAACCTGGACCTCAGCAGGGCCACAGGCTGATGGGCTCCATGCTACACTACAACAATGAGATCATACAAAAACCTCCCCAAGTAGTGCATGCATTTACTGTACAGCTCATTGACATACTTTTCAGTAAGTTGACATTTCCGTATTAAATTTTATTTTTTATTTCAAATTGGCCTTATATAATTTTCCAATGTCCAGAGAAACTAAATGCTTTACACTAGTTGTTAGCTATAATGATAAAAATAACAGAAATACACAATATTTGTTTTTAAACTATATAAGTTTTTCATTTTGAAACAAATGACTGAAGTTTACTTTTCAATGATATATATGTTATGAATATATATATATATATATATATATATATATATATATATATATATATATATATATATATGTTTTTTTATTTTTTTATAAATAAAAAGAAAAATATATA